ATTCCGAATTTAGCTTTCATACGCTGGTGCGTGAAATTTTTAACTGTTTTTCAGTGTTTGAACTATTTTCGCATAGACTAAAGCACAAAGCAGTGGAAATCATTAATAGACAATCGTTCGATGGGCTGAATTGCACAAAACGCATGATCGCACTGGCTAGTCTGGTGCGCGTTGCTTTATTTTATAACGTTACAAAGCGCATCTTTGCTTTTCAGAACTGGATGCATCCGTTTGCACTGGTTATTTTCGATGGTGATCCAATACCACAGAGCGCGAGAGGCGATGCGCAAAGATTAATGCCACAAGCTCTTATTCGGTTACTTCCTTCATATGTTTTCATTGTCTATACGTGTATGCGTATATGCTTTTGTTTCAGTTCTGAATGTGTGCTTTGATATTTGCTTCTTGAGTTAGCCCAGTAACTTGATGAAGAGAATATTTCAAATTGGCGCTAATGCGCTGTTTATATCTTTACCACCACTTATTTTAGAGTCTTAACCGCCTTTTTTTCGAGTCTATTTTTCTGTATTTTTCTTAAGTTTCTTCTAATTTTGGCATTTTTTACAACATTTTGACGAAGTTCTTTGCTCATCGGGATCAATCGCATTTTTTGGCCCCATCGGTTCATCCTACTAGTTACGTGAATGCATGAGTAATGGGATTGGCTGTAGTAACATCTGCAATTTTCCCGTTCTTTTAGAACAGTTGAAAGTTGTTTGGTTTGATAAACGAAAAATACGAGTAATTTTCAGAATTCTTTATCAGTTAATTTGCTTTGGGATTTGCCTAGCAAGCACTGTTTGATAAGTAACATTTGACTGTTAATTGCAGAGGTATGATGGACGAGGAAGGTGAGCAGTTTGTTACGTATTTCTTACCATCCTCGGAAACCTTGGAAAAGCGTATAAGAGATACCGAAGAAGGACTTGAATACGATCCCACTTATGAGTAAGCTGTTGTTTATCCTATTAATTTTAAACAACTAATAGTTTATCGTCAAAATTGCCATCAGCCAAGTTGAGCAGACGATTAGTATGCAGCCCTTCGTACTGCTGAGCTGAAAACAGCCTTCAGTGTTACTAAAATAAAGTATCATTCGATGTTACTGGGGTGAAGCAGCTGCTCCAGCTTTCCTGTGTGATTGTAACGGACACTGCACAAAAATTTGTAAAAATGGTGGACCGATTGGATTAACGATTTTCGTTTTTGTATGAAAAACGAAAAAATTACATCAGACCGTTTAGTCGAACTGTACTTCGTTTCAAAGGGTTACTACCATTAACATTTTACTTATTCCGGCGCTGGACAATGATTGATTTCAGCAGCAATTACTAAAACTCGGCTCGCCTCGGCCGTTATTTTCTAACTTCCTCGTTAACGCTGTTTCGTGCCGACCCGAGTTTTAGTAATTGCCATTTCACCCGGCGAAATTACCGCATTATCGGTGCGAATCAGTTCTCTCTCTTACAGGACTCTTCCTTCGCAGTCTGCATCATTCTTATCCTCTGACATTTTAGGTCCTTACCAGAGTTCTGAATTGGAGAATAATCTTCGATTCCACAACATGATAATTGCAGTAAAACAAACTTTAGCCAACGATGACAGTTACAGCAAACGAATATTTTTAGCGCGAATGATTTCTGTGATTTGCTCTTTCCAGGTACGAATATAATTCGGTTCGAGATTACAATTGGTTAGTAAGGAACAAATCAACCAAAGGCTATGAGCAGGACATTTTCTTGTTTTCATTTCGTGACGGTGCTGTGTATTATAATGAACTGGAAACAAGAGTTTCACTCAATCGACGGAAGACGAAACGAGCTCGGGTAATTTACCTCGTTTCAATTTGGTTGTCCAAAAATTTCAACTACCTTCTTTTATGGCGATGATGAAATAAGGGAGGGAAAAAAGAAAGAAAAAAATGCTAATGAAACTAAAATTCGATGATAACACAATAAATCGCACTGGCAAAAGAAAATTTACTAAAGCTATTTTGTTTCTCAGACCTCTTGATGGGTTTTATATTGAAAGTTGCCGGCTTCAGATTTTTAGAAACATGGCAAATAGCTTGATATCAGCTTCAAGCTTCTCTGTGGTTTAAACTGATTTCACAACTTCGGAAAGGACCAATTTAAGCAGTTGTGCTTTCGTAATTGTAGTTCTGTTTAAGATACAAACTGAATGACCTAAAATATTAACTTTCGGCTGCCAGTGCTCTTTTTTGCTTGTGGATTCAGGCCCAAATTGAAGCTAAAATTGCAAAATTTCTTGCATCCGACAGTGTGGTAAAAATGCCTTTTTGTGTATTTTTCTAACCATTTTACCTTTACAGAAACTCATTGTAATAATACATTCTTTGTGTAAGGCTGTTATGTTTGTTTTTCAGCAAGAAACGAAGTTGATGGTGCGCAATCGTGCATATGATGACAGTGAACTCTTCAGTCAGGTTCTCTTTTTTTTTGGATTTTTTCGCAGGACTAGGAAGAATTTCAAGTCTATGAGATAAAATATGGAAAAGAAGACAGGCAGCAGCATTCTTTCGCGGTCGCCAACCGGCTTAGTTGTATTTAATTTATGATTTTGCAAAGTATTTGGCTGAAACGAAGCAGGTGCAGATATCTCTCTTCGTTGTGGGGCACAGGAGGAGGTTCTGCTAAAATTCAGCCATTTATGACCACTAACACTTCAATTTTGGGTCTTTTGTTTTTAGCTGTTTGTTTTAGACCAGTGAAGCGCTAGTAATGACGATAAAGCTTTTTAACGTGAAATTCCTTAATTTCACTTATTTCCCTGTACAGTCCTTTCTATCTGATGAAAGTAAAGCACTCAATGCATAAAGGAAAATTAAAATTAGACACAGCAGCTACAGCACAGGCTACTTTGCGGTGCAGCACGCATCGTTTTCGGCATTGTTTGAGTACTGTCACTTCAAAAACACATCATATTTGAATTTTCCCGAGCTTTGATTAGCTACAGCTGCTAAAAGATAATGGCACGAAAGCTGAACTGCAGTCTGCAGACGTCAGTTGCCACCGTACATTGTTGCAGTCTTTATTTTCACAATTAATTTACTTCCCTTTCCCATCTTTTTCTTCTCTGTAATATACTTTTGCTGTCACTTTTTTTGATAAGAACATTTTGGATTAGCTTTCCTGAATTTTTTGAGCTTGCATGTAAAAGTCCGAAATTTTATTTTTTTTTATAAATTTTGTTGAATGTGAACAGATTCATTTTAGCAGGAGCGATTAAACAATTTGTTACATCCATACGATGAAAAAGACGAAGGAGGTAAATTCCTATATTTGCTAGCTTCTGTTGTAATGTATTACTGTAGAAACAGCGACATTTGGGCAGCTTTCGAAGATTTAATGCTTGTAAGTAGCAGATATGCAGATCCCCTAACCTCTGCCTGCTCATGTACTGTAGTTATTGCTATTTCTCATCGGTGGATATGTTGGTTTGTTTGAAGTGCCTGAAATGTGCAGCAGTTTGTGCTTGAAGGAGTAGTAAATTTTAGAATAGCATCAGTTGTTTCAGAGAAGTTATGCAGTGAT